ATAACAATTTACTTGACCTTATTAAACAAGCCATGAATCAGGCAGTATCCCATCTTGAAAAATAGAAAGGAATCAAAGAGCTTTACAAAATGAAAGGATTTTACAGACAGGAGGCAGAGGAAACAGGAAAAGAGGGTTGTTTCAGGCAAGGTCACCTTCCTGTGAGGGACAGAAGAGGTCCAGCTGGCAGATTACCTGATTAGTGCTGACCAAGACTCCAGATTGTGTGGTTAAAGGTTGCATTTTTAGGAGAAACTGGAATTGCCTTTAGGTTAAATATTGTGTTTGCTGAAGTGAGGTTTAGCAAGAGTCACTCCATTTGGGACCTGCTATATCTTTTTTAACAGTAGTTATCAGTTTGTGTTTGTCCAAAATAGTTATAAAAATACTATTTCAGAAAAAAAAAATTATAGTATTGGTATTTTTGTTAGCATTTGATCTGTAACTTAAGTAGACAAATTTCTAGTAAGTTTTATTATTTATCTAAATGGTCACTCAGGAAATGATTTGTCTTTTAGCAACTGTTCTTTCTATACTAACAGAATACACCCAAGGATTTCAAGGCAGTTTGCCAGGCCTTCTAGTAATAAATATATAATAGCGTGAGCATGTGTGAAGAAGTCCCAGTGCTACAAATAACAAGAATTGAGATTTTGTACAAAAGTTCAAATGAAAATGCTTATCAACTTGATGATAACATGAAATTGCTCTTCCTTTAGAAATTTACATTCCATTTATCCAGATAATTTGAACCAAAGTGATGCCTGTGATATGCCTCAGTTACTTAATATATCAAATGGTTTCCTTGATCCCCTCCCATAAATTTAAGTCTGACTAGTCATGTGTTAATAGGACCCAGGAAAAGCAACAGCCTCCAACTAACACCCTTCTTACCGGTCACCCATCTCTTAGCCTAAGCAGAGATCGTAAGATAATCAAACTTAGAGAACTGGGAATGTTCTGGAATACAGGCAGTGTTCTTAAAAGGAGCAAAGCTCTGTATTGTCAGCTTTTAGAAGCAACCATGAAGACTCCCTGAAGCACATGAAAGTAAAATTGTTCTATTTGAATTACCAGAGATCAACATTTAAATGAATGAGTAGAAACAGGCAAAGTCACCTTAAAAACAAGACAATGCTTGGATGGGTTGTCATACATGTGAAAAACTCCAGTCAAGTCTCCAGTGTCAACAAGGCAATCTTGAAGGCAGCTCCCTCAGGTCCCAGGGAGCCATTTTTCCTGATTCTCTCTATTAATAATCCCATCCTTATCTTACCTGATACTCTTGGTAACGCACACACCCAACTCCCCTCATTCTGATTCACACCCATTATTGCTTCAGTTCCCACTGTCTGCCTAGCGAAGTAAGAATTTGCTCTTTTACTTGTATCTGTAAATTGGCATACATTTTTTTAAACACTGGTCTTAGGAGTTTGGTTTTTGAGTCCACCCTGAGAGTTTGATGTGCTCACATTTGCTGATGAAGTCAGTTTCCAAGCTTGCAATGCTGTAAACCAAACACTGGATTATAGTACATTCACCCTAGTAATGCAATCTTCTGAGGCCTCTTGGAATGCAGCCAAATGACTTGCCAGGCCACGAATTAGAGACTAGCTGAACTATTTCCCCCATTTAAAGATTTCTACCCTTAAAATTAATGCTAGTTTTTAACTTAAGAAAACCAGTTTAAACAGTAAAACCAACATCAAGTGAATCATATACATTAGATGCTCTTTTAATTTTTAATACACATGCTAGTTAAGAAAAAGAAGATATGATTTCTTAAAGAGAGCTTCGCTTAAGTGGAGGAAGTTATGATTTAAAGAAATTTGGTTACACCAACTAAATGTATGACATTTGTTTAAATTCTACTGGAAATAAACGGTGGTAGACAAAATAACAACCCTCCTAAAGAGGGCCTCATCCTGATCCCCTGAACCTGTGAATGTTACCTTATATGGTAGAAGAGACAGCTGGTTGTTAAGGGTTTTGAAATGAAGAGAGCAGTCTGGGTTATACAGGTGGGTTCAAATAATCACATGAGTCTTTTAAGGGTAGAACCTTTCCCAGCAGGGGTCAAAGGAGCTATAACTAAGGAGGATCAGGGAAATGTGATACTAGCTCTTAAGATGGAAGAAGATCAGGAGCCAAAGAATGCAGCCTCTAGAAGCTGGAAAAGGCAAGGCAACAGATACTCTCTTAGAACATCCAGAAAAGAACAAAGCACTGTTGATATCTTGATTTTAGCCAGACTTCTGACCTAGAAAAGAGGTAAGAGTGAACTTGTGGTAAGTTACAGAATTTGAAGTTAATTTGCTATCACAGCAAATAGAAAATACACAAAATCAAACTATTTTGAGATAAATCAGTTGACTCAAATAGAGGGTATTAAATAGAATATTGAGAGGTATTAAGTGTTTATTCTTGTTAGTGTTATAGTTATTTGGGATACTTTTTTTTTCTCAAAGATTTATTTATTTATGCATACAAGAACTGGGGTACAGGCCAGAGGTGTGTGTGGGTGTGGTGACAGGATTCACCAGAAACAAAGTGGGGAACAGAACAGGCATACCTACCAAAATACACTGCTGAGGGGAGCAGTGGGCAAGGCAGGAGAGGTCTGCTGGGCCATTTGGATCAGCTCCCAGCCAGGCATCAAACCCTCCCCACAGTGGCTGAAAATAGCTTCACTATGCTTCAACCCCTTGCACCACCAGGGAGGGCAGGGTTACATTTTTAAATGTTAGAGAACCATACTACTACTGCTATAAAACAGGTGAGAGGATATATTATGAAATTAAGAAAAAGTTTGATTAATAGCTGGAGTTGGGGGTTTCATAATACTATTTTATTATTGAGTATATTTGAGATTTTCCATACTATGTTTTTGTAAAAGTGAATTTACTCAGGAGAGAACACAAGAATACTAAAGATCAAAAACACATAAAAAGGAAAAGAAAAAGAAAAAAAAGAACAACAATAAAAAAAGAAAAACAAAAAGAATACTACAGATCAGCAACAGGCAACTTGCTGGGGTGATGGAAAGGTTCTTTATCAGTACTAATCAATGTAGCAGCCGCTAGCCACCCCATTAAGCACTTGAAGTACAGGTCGTATGTAACCAAGGGAACTGAAAATTTTATTGTAACTACTTGAATTTAAATACCATGTTACCCAGTGCAGCTATAGAGAATTCAAAGTAAACTTAGCAGTGAGTCAGTGCACATTTGTTAATTTTGCGTGGCCAGCCAGTCACATCCCTTCTTGCTCTGTCAATACCTATCTCCGGTTACCCACCCCGCTCTCAGCCATTCCTCCACCAGAGATCTAGGCTACACAACTTCTTCCTGGTCGCAGCAACAGATCCAAGAAGAAAAATGACCACAGCCAAGACAATGAAAATCCTTGACTGGACTTTTCTGTATTAGGAAATGAAGAGGCTACCTTAACCAGCAGTTGTATGGGTGAGACCCTAGAACTGGGCACCATCAAACTCCCTTGAGACACTAGGGTTCCTGAGAGTAAAACAAAATGAAGATAAAAGATGAAATCTGGGCCCTCCCTGGTGGCACAGTGGGTTAAAGCACTGCACTGAGAAGCCTAAGCCACTTCCGCGTGAGTTCGATCCCCGCCTGCCCCGGAGGAGATCCC